GCATAAGAGCTAAACGGATATTTTGCATCGGTCTTCACAGAGAAAGATACTTTGAACATCCCATTCATAACAAAGAATACAGGGGAGGAATTAAGTAATATCACCATCAGTAAAGATGTACATGACAAACTAATGGCACTAAATGGCAGATAAATGCCCTGGCCCCGAGTGCTTGCATCCTAGGATCCTAAAAGAAGCAGTTACAGAGATTGTAGGTGTATTGGTTGTAATATTTGAAAAAAATCCAAGGATTCTGGAGAAATTCTGGAGGATTGGAAAACTGCTAATGTGACACACCTATTCAAAAAGAAAGGGAGGCTGATTAGCCTAACACCTATTGTTGGAAAAATATTGGAATCAATTACTAAGGAAGTAATAGCAGAACATTTGAAAAATCATAATTTAATTAAGCAGTGTCAGCACGGCTTCATAAAAGGGAAATCGTATCTGATTAATTTATTAGAATTTTTGAGGGAGTCTCAATCAGAGTTGATCGAGGGAACCAGTAGATGCTTTGTATTTGGACTTCCAGAAGGCGTTTGACAAGGTGCCTCACAAAAAGTTAAGTCATAAGTTAACAGCCCACGGTATTGGAGGTACTATATTGGCATGGATAGAGCATTGGCTGATGGGCAGGGAACCCCAAGTGGGGATTAGAGGCTGTTTTTCAGGTTGGCAACTTGTAACCAGTGGGGTTTCACAGGGATCAATGCTAGGACCACAAAAATACATTTACAATATATATGAATAACTTGGATTAAAGAAGCAAATACACTGTATCAAGATTTGCAGACAACATAAAAATAGGTGAAAGACAAATTACGAGACGGTTACAAACAGTTTATTGGGAGATATTGATAGGTTAAGTAAGTGGGCAAGAAGTTGGCAAAATGGAGTATAATGTGGGAACATGTGAAGTTGTTTGTTTTAGAAGGGAGAACAAAAGAAGAAAGTATTATTTAAATAGAGAAAAACTGCAGAAAGGGGATACTTGTGCATAAATCACGGAAAGCTAGCACACAAGTGCAGCAAGCAATTGGGAAAGTGAATGATAACTTGGCCTAAGTCTTACTGTAACTGTACAAGGTGCTGATAGACCCACATCTGGAGTACTGTCAGCAGTTTTGGCCCCTTTATTTAAGATATTATTTCATTAAAAGCAGTTCAAAGAAGGTTCACTAGAATGATCTTCAGTATGGAGGGAATATGAGCAAAGGCTAATCTGGTTAGGGCTCTACTTGCTGGAGTTTAGAAGAATTAGAGGTGAGCCCACTGAAACATACAGAGTTCTTAATGGACTTGACAGGGTAAATGCTGAGAGAATGTTTCCCCTCATGGGAGAGCCTAGGACCAGAGGGCATTGTTTCAAAATAAAGAGGGGGCCAATTTAAGACTGAGATGAGTAGGAATTTTTTCTCTCAGAAGGTTGAGAATCTTTGGAACTCCTTGCCACAGCTAGTTGTGGGGCACTATTTTTGTGTATATTTAACACTGAGATAAATTCGTGATCAGTCAGGAAACCGAGGAAACAGAGAAATTGCAGGCAAGAAGACATAAGGAACACTGGATCAGCCATGATCCTATTTAACGTAGCTGAAGGGCCTACTCTTGTTCTTATTTCTTATGATCGTATAGACTTATCCCAGAACTTGTAGTAAGAATATGCACATCAATTTGACTATCTCAACAACTAATAAATTTCAAGTGCTGCCACCAGAAGCAGTGTAACAATATTATAAAATGAAGGGAAAGGAAACAAGGGAGGGAACTGAATGAGCTGTCAGAGGAAGTGGTGGAGGCTGGTACAATTATAACATTTAAAAGGCATCTGGAGGGTTTATGAATAGGAAGGGTTCAGAGGGATATTACTCAAATGTTGACAAATGGGACAAGATTAATTTTGGATATCTGGTCGGCATGGATGAGTTAGACCGAAGAGTCTGGTTCCATGCTGGCCACCTCTCTCTATCTAAAGCGAAATGGGATTGGTCTGGGTGTAATGACTGTAACAAGATCAGCCAGGTAGACCTCATAGAATATGAGTTCCCTGATTGGGACTGTTAATCTGGTCCAATCAGGGAGCCCTGGTTGACATATTAGAACAGGAGTGTCAGACATTCTCTTTACTCTGAGAGCTGGCTCTGAGGGAACTGGATCAGTGTCAAGGTGTCTCCACATGTAAATAAAGAGTGAGTAGATGACGGGATACTGGTCTCACTGGAGTTATTTCAGTGGGAAATCTAGATCTACCTTAAAAGAAGGTGAGACTAAATCAAAATGGAGTTGGAATGGGAGATAATGCACTCCAGCTCCTGCAGTGAAAAAAATCCAGCCGTTGATAGTTTCTAATCAAACTATTCAGAAATAGTTGAAGCACATCTGGAAAAGGTGGGACATGAACCCAGATCCCTTGGCACAGAATTAGGGACACTAAAACTGCACCAGGCCACTTTCAAAATTGAATAAGCATTACTTATTTTTAATCAACTCTGGATCTGCAGTGTTAACACTGAAACTACAGCTTCGACCATCATCAGTTATTATATAAATCATGTTCCTTTCACCATAAGGCAAAAATTTAGGATTGCAGATGACTGTATAATGTTTAATGCCGCTTCCAGCTCCTCAAATCCTGAAGTAATCTGTGTCTATATTAAGCAAGATCTGGATGACATGCAAGTTTGAGATAAGGAGCATTTACACCACAGAAGTGTCAAGGAATGACCATCAACAAACTCAGTGTTTGTTCTTCATTTTAATGGGATTACTGTTACTGAATTCTCCATGCATCATCATCCAGGATGGTGCCATTGACCAAGTACTTAATTGGCCTGACCATATGAAACTGCGTTGCAAAAGCAGGCAATTCTGTTGTAGAGAGATAGTAGGAACTGCCGATGCTGGAGAATCTGAGATAACAATTCTGTTGTAACTTATGTCCTGACTCCCAAAAACCTGATCCATATCAAAAAGACAGAAATTAAGAGTGTGATGAAATACTTTCCACTTGCCTGGATCAGTGCAGAACAAACAGTACTCAGGCAGTTCAACATATTTCAGCTTGCTTGATCAGCACTGCATCCACCACCTAATGTTCACTTTCTCCACCATTGTATAACATGTAATAAATGCAGTGCTGCAACACACCAGAGGTATCTTCCAAACCCACGACCTCTACCACCTAGGACGACAAATACGGTAGACACATAGGAACATTACCATCTACAAATTCCCCTCCAAGCCATATAACACTCCTGTGTTGGAAATATATTGCTGTTCCTTCACTGTCACTTTGTCAAAACTTTTGAATTCCTTCCTAAACAGCACTGTTGATGTACCTGCACAATCTAGAATGTAGCAGTTTAAGAAGATAGTTCATGACCAGCTGCTGAAGAGCAATTAGGGGTAAACTAGAAATTTTGGATTTGCCAATGATGTTTCTATGCCATGAAATGATAAAGGACACATATGTGCCTCATGTGCTCAGAATTGAGCATGAAGCTTGAAGTTAATATGTCTAACGCTCTCAGTTTACCTTAATATTCAATGAGCACAAGGTGGGCTGACAGTGAATGGACAAGTTAATTCTATTTTATCCCATTCTTCATCTGGAGCACTGAAGCATCTTTCACCTTTTATCCATTATTGGCTTCTCAGATCTGCACTTCAGAGCAGATATCCCCAGTCTTCCTGTGGTCCCTTATCCTTGAATCATAGTAATGCACCCGCTACCCCACAGTATTCAAAGCCCTTGTTCACACAAGGAAGGTGATCAGCACACAATAGACCCTGATATATTATGACTTATTGTTCCCAATTTATGGCAGGACATGTGAGTCAATTTCTCTGCAGCCATATCACCCATACAAGAATTATTTACTTGCTTAGTAATTCTATTATTCTATTTACTAAAGCACTAAATTAAAGCCAGTACTCATGAGAGTAATTTTGGGTCAGGTGGGAATAAGAAAGTAAAATATTTAAAATACACTCAGAACCTACATATTTCAGGATTTTGCTTGTTGCAAAACACAGGATGACAGGATGGTTAGTTATCACTAAGCAGATGAGCTGTTGAAGCTTTTGAAGGAAGCATATGGATCTCTTCTATCTTAGTACTCATTGTGGACAAGCAGTGACAGGAGTCTAACAAGCAAACCCAATAAGCACATCCCCTCAAACCTCACCACATAAACTTACCTCAAGCCAATTTTGATTTTTCTTCTTATAGGTCATCCTCTCCCATCACAACTGCTCATAGCCCAACCTAGCTCTGTCCATTCCTTGTGACTCCTCACTTGCACAACTACTAAACCCATCTGCTCCTAGGCTGAAGTATTCTTCCACATCCTTCTGTATCTGAACAGTAAGCAAGTCTATCAATTATGCTGACTGTTGGCTGGGAAACAGGGAAATGCTCTGCACAGGGCTGGCATTCAGAGAAAGATGCATTTCAGGCTTTCCAATGCCTCCAAATCACCTTCCCCACCTCAATTCTGAAACTAAACCCAAATCCATATCAGGGCCCATATCTCCGACTAAGAAGGATGGAGAGCTATCTGGTTTGAAGTAGCAGCAAATACTATCACTTCTTAATTTTCTCTTGCCAGACTGTTGTTGAATTTATCTGACACGCATCAGAACAAGCTCAACTGATTTAAAATCTAATCTGTACATTTTTAATTTGTAGAAATCAGTTAAATTGAATTCTGGATTCATTCACCTCAAATATAGAAGATTTTACATTGCCTCAATAGACCATTATTCAATCAGGTAAATTTTGACCCAAACCGAGCATTGAAGCAAAAGACTGGCATAAACTTTTATAAATCACATACTGATTAACTCAAGCTGACCCTCTGCACAATCTAAACAGTTTAGAAGATGTTTGAAGTAAAATGACACACAAACAATATGTGAGCTATAACTGTAGTACTTATCCAGCAATGATAGTAGTGTTTATGCAGTATAATTCTTAGTCAAATAGATTTTATGCTTACATGTGCAGTCTTCATACAAAGGGAGTTTCAAGAAGGCAGGTGCTCTCTTTAAAAATGAAACTGTGAGAGTTACTTCTTCCCCAGCATTACGCAGAACTTGAACCTGTCATTCATTACAAAGCATAGGTAAAGGCAAAACAATTTATTTAGTTAACCAGTAGCCAAAACTGACTGGTTTTATTTAAAGAAGTTGTAATATTATCAATGTAAACATTCAAAACTAAGATGCTCTGAGTGAAAACAATCAAAAATCAGAAGTATAAAAATATATTTGTCAAGCACTTTATTTTTCCCTAGCAGAAAGTGTGAATGAGCACATCTTAATGATTCTATTGTCTGTAAAGAAGGGAGACAGATGGAGCAAATATGATTGGTTGCAAAATACTATTATGTGTAGAACTGTTGACAACGGGTTAGTACTAAGAGCAACATTTTTGATCATCAAATGTGATACACACTAAAATACATATTTATAAAGACCTGTAATCATTAGAAAAATGACAAACATTAGAAACTAATGTCAAACTAAAATGAATAATTGCTGCTTCTCTTGAGTTGCATTTGCAAGTCCCTTTTGGTGGAGATAGAGGGCAAGATCACTCAAAATGCTAAATAGAAATGGAGAAAGGTCAAAGACCAAAACTGAAGTAAGCACTGAAAAGAAGCATTGGTATCACAATGCATGATTGACCAATTCAAAGCAATGCTGGCATACTTCACACTGCTTGCTCTGTTGAGGGGTTACATGACTGATCTGCAGGCCTAATTTTGTACCAAACTAGTATAACTTAAAGCTTGTGGCATTACTTAACGGAAGCCTGCACCTCTTATAAACTGGTGAATTCTGGCTGTAATACCTACTGGAAGTTAATGTAGAAGAGAGTCTGGTCTATAGAAAAAGGAAGTTAGTAGAGTATGGCTGGCAGCAAACTCCCAAATTTTCTGATTATATCATACGATCATAAGAACAAGAGTAGGCCATTCAGCCCCTCAAGCCTGCTCTGCCATTCAATAGGATCATGGCTGATTTTATATTCCTTACATCCACTTTCCTGTCCTTTCCCCATAACCTTTGAATTCCTTACTTAGCAATAATCTATCTGTCTCAGCCTTAAGCATGCACAAGAAATCTGTCCCCACAGCTTTTTATGGCAAGGAGCTCCAAAGACTCACAACCCTCCGAGAGAAGAAATTCCTATTCATCTTAGTCTTAAATGTGCCCCCTTTATTTTGACACTATTCCATCTGGTTTTAGACTCTCCCATAAGGGGAAAATCCTCTTGGCATTTACTCTGTCAAGTCCTTCGAGAATCCTATATGGTTTCAATCTCTCCTAACACTAGTGAGTGGAGTCCCAATCTGTCCAACTTTTGCTTATAAGACAATTCTTCCATACCAGGGATCATTCTAGTAGACCTTATCTGAACTGCTTCCAATGAAACAATATCTTCCCTTAAATAAGGGGACTTGCTCACAGTGCTCCAACTGTGATCTTATTAGCACCTTGTACAGTTGCAGTAAGACTTCACTACTCTTAATCTGCAACCCCTTGAATTAGAGCCAAATTTCCATAAATCTTATTTATCAAACATTCCTTCCACTTCATGTGCACTGTTTAACCTTACCCTGACACAGTTAACATCACTGCCAGCTGCACACCTATATCTCTTGAATGCACAGTTAACTCCTTAAAAAAAGTCACATCACCCATGTTCTCTGCACCATTCTTCAATCTTTTCCAGGACAAGATTGGACAAGTGCAATTGACGGCAGCAGCAGCTAACCAATGGAAAATGGAACTTCTAAAATCTCATGGAGGAGGTGATGCTCGTCATAATACGAACAGTTACTGCTGAGGTCATTGCCAGCACTTAGCTGAGACGAGAGAATATGGTTTGAGGTGAGAGGGAGAAAGTTTAAAGGAGATGTGCAAGAAAAATTTTTTACAGAAAGGGTGCCTGGATGCACTTCTGGGTAGGTGGTCGAACCAGATACAATATGATTTATATTCTATAAGGATATAGGAAGTAGGAGCAGCACTTAGATCTGCTCCATCATTTAATAATTTCATGGCTGCTCTGATTGTGACCTCAAATGCACTTTCCTGCCTGGCCCTTCCCACAAAGGGAAGCATCTTCTCGGCATCTAATCAAATGCCTCAATCTTGTACATTTTAATAAGATCACCATTCTTTATTATAAATTTCAGTGAGTTTGAACCGAATTTGCTTATTGTTTCTTCACAAGACACTTTATCCCAAGATCCAAATTAGTGAGCTTCTCTGAACTGTCTGAAATGTGAGAATATCATTCCTTAAATAGTGGTTAAGCAGTATTCCAGGTGCAGTCTCAACAAAGTACTGTACAGATGTAGCAACATTTCTACACTTCTATACTCAATCCCCTGAACTTAAGGACAATGTTTTATTTGCTCTCCAAATGACTTTGTTGTACTTGCATGCCAACATTTTGTGCTTCTTGTGCAGGACATGCAGCTCCTGCTTTATTGCATTCTCTTCCCCATTTAAAACAAAATCTGCTTTTCTAATCTTTCTCCAAAAGGAGACAATCTCATACTTTCCCACATTCCTGCCATCTGACAAATTTTTGCTCACTTACATAGTCTATCTACATCCCTTTGCATAGGACACAGTTCTGAAATCAGAATGGTTGGGGAGGTAATGGTCTAGTGGTATTATTGCTGGACTATTAATCCAGAGACCCAGATGACATGCTAGGGACCAGGGTTCAAATCCCACCACAGCAAATGGTAGAATCTGAATTCAATAAAATATATGGAACTAAGAATCTAATGATGACTGTGAATCCATTGCCAATTGCCAGGAAAAACGCACCTGATTCACTAATAAGAAATAACACAGCATGGAGCTGGAGGAACACAGGAAGCCAAGCAGCATCAGAGGAGTAGGAAACCTGACATTTTGGGTCCGGACCTTTCTTTAGAAATGGGCTTTTGGAGGATCTGAATGTTCTGTATGTTGCGGTCAGGCCAAATTGGGAAGGCCTGAATGTAGATTGCAGTCCATTTGGGATGATCCGGTTCCGTTGGCAGGTACTGAGAAAGGCAATGTGGCTGTAGAACCTGGTTTGCTTCAGTATGTGGTCGAGCAGTTTCAGGACCGAAGCGATTACTAGAGGGTTGCAGTGGGAGAGAGATCCACTGAGGTCTTTCCAGAGGGAGGAGGATAACTTCTTCAGGGTAGGCATCGCTGGAAGAGGCTTTGAAGTGGGGTTATAACCTGTCCTTCAGGGAAGGAGACTGCCATCCTTACCTGGTCTGGCCTACATGTGACTCCAGACCCACAGCAATGTGGTTGACTCTGAACTACCCTCTGGGCAATTAGGGATGGATTGTAAATGCTGCCTAGCCAGTGACATCCTCATCCCATTAATGAATAAAGAAAAAGTTGACTATTACATTGAACAATATTCTGAGATACTTCACTAAGAATATTACAACTTTTCAAAACTGAACAAATCAGAACTCATGAACTCTTAAGCCATAAGACCGTGAGACATAAAAGCAGAAGTAGGCCTTTCAGCCCATTGAATATGGCCCACCATTCAATGAGATGCTGGCTGATATGATAATCCTCAACTTCACTTTCCTGCCTTGTCTCCATAACCCTTGATTTCCTCATTGATTAAATGTCTGTCAACCTTGAATATGTCAGGCAAAGCAGCCTTGACAACTCATTGCAATAAACAACGATAGAGGTTAAATGCACTCAGAGATAAAATGCTTCTCATCATCTCTGTCTTAAATTGGTGACTTCATACTCTAAGATCATGCCTTCAGGTCCTAGACTTACAAAAGGGGAAATAGCCTCCCAGTCTCTACCCTGTCAAGTCGCAGAGAATACTAAATGTTTCCATAAGGTCTCTTCCCATTTTTCTAAACTCCAGTGAGTACAAGCCCAAACTACCCAAGCCATTTTCACTAGAAAATCCCTCCAAATTTGAAATCAATGTAGTGATCCTTCTCCGGAGTACCTCAAATGCCAGTATATCTTTCCTTAGATAAGGAGCCCAGAACTGTTCACAGTATTCCAGGTTCTGGTTTGACTAATACTTTGAATAGTTTTAGCAAGACCTCCCTATTTTAACACTTTATTGCCAGTGAAATAAAATCCACTTGCCTTTCCAATTATGGGCCAAACTTGGATACTTGCTTTTTGTGATTCACAGATGAGGACCCCAAATTCCATCAGTGCTGCAACCTTCTGCAATTTTTCACCATTTAACTAATATTCAACTATTTATTCTTCCTGCCAAAGGTCAGAAATCACATTACAGGTTTATTCAAAAACAGAGAGACGACGAAAGCTTGTGATTTCACATAAACCTGTTGAGACTATAACCTGGTGTCATGTGATTTCTGACCTTGTCCACCCCAATCCAACACTGGCATCTCCACATCATTCCTGCCAAAGGGCAAACCCTCACATTTTCCCACATTATATTTCATCTGTCAAGTTTTTGCCCACTTGCTTAACTTGTCTATATCATTCTGCAGACTCTTTGAGTCATCATCATCTTCCCACATATTTTTGTATCGTCCACAAACCTAGCCAGCCGCCAAATCATCGATGTGAATAAGTTTGGCCCCAGCATGAACCATGTTCTGAGCTGTTTTAAATGATCAGTGTAAATAAAATAGTCTGCTGCATTAACATAAGAATATGAAATCTTTTGAATGGCATGACATCTGATGTCGTTTAGGAAACAACATAACCACCATTTTTTCCATTCACAATAGGCTCCATTTTCTAAAGTAGTAATCATTTGCTATGGTAGCTGAGCTTCAGAAGGTATTGGAGTACATAACTCAGCAGGTATCAATGTACACAGTTTGACTGACACTTTTAAAAGGTTATTAAAGAATTATCTGTCTTTGATGTAATTGCTGAATAGATGTATATTTTTAAAGTGCAATTACCTTTTGAGGAGGTTAACATTTTTGAATAGGCATGTAGTTTCTTTTCTGTGCAGTATGAATGGTGGTGCATTGACGTGGAAGCTCTGTTAGATTGTTAGACGTTTACTTTCTCATATTCATTTCAAAGACTTCACATTGTTATTA